TCTCTTTTTTCACTTTGAAAAGAATATTTTGTGAGTTTAAAAAACCAAACTTAGAAGCACTCTGAAAGTCTCCTATTAATATTAATGCAAATCAATGATCATTCTAAAAAAGATGGAAAAACTGTTTAAAATTAAGGCTAGCCCTCTTTAGATGCAATCGAGGCACAAATAGAAAACGAAACACGAATGATTCTGAGTCCCTTTTTTATTTTCCAGGAATATTCCCCATATTACATGTTGTCCAAACTGGAATACGTTTAAGAGTGATGAGGCATTTTATTAATAAGGTCAGGTGAATATCATAAAGCAGAGCTATCTCAATGAAACTAGGGACCATGCTGCCCTAGGTACGAAGAGTCAAGATGTAGAAGTTTTATCAACTTCTTCCATTAGAATCAAAGAACTGAATATTTGAGAAATTTTCACTGAAAGAAACCATCGTTTTCCATCTTCTCTATTTGAATTTTGCTCCGCAAAGTGGAGAGTCATTGACAATGAGAAAGACTCTTGATGAGAAAGACGAAAAGTAGTGGCTGCCGACAACAACGCGCTCAAGCATAACAAGAAGACGTGAAGATGGCACCGAACGAAGGGTTTCCATCTGTTGTTCTATTTCGTTCTGCGTCTGGGCCAACTTGATGACACCTAACCACACTGTGTGACTTTATGATTCCTCGTTTCTCCCAGGCTTTCACCTGTTCGTCTGTAGAGACACAATTTTTTTAAAAGGAAAAGTAACCGGTAGGTTCAAACCTCTCACCTTGAGGTTCACACAGCACTGGTAGAACAAACACACATACACACCCAAACCAGCTGCCACAGAGTCAACTCCAGGCAGTCCCATGGTTGTCAGCGATGCATGGGGGCTGCACAGGGTTTTCAATAACTGATTTTTGATCATCAGGCCTTCCTTCTGAGGTCGGTGAGGGTTGATTCAAACGGAAAATGTTTGGGTTAGTAGCGAAGTACCTAATGGGTAGCACTACCCAGGGACTGCACCCAAGCGGTTCCTATGAACAAAGGAGACAAATGGAGCGAGGGAAGCAGCGAGTACGAGGATGTGGCCCATACTCCCGGCCCCTCCGCAGTTGCTAGGAGGTTCTCATGGTATTGATTCAGAGCTACAGAAATGCCTTTCTACATTGTTCTCACCACAATGGTTGCTTACCATCTAGCTTCCCGACCTGACACCTGAGGTCAGCGTGGTGACAGGCACGGTCTTGGGGCACTGTGTCTGCCAAGTGTCACGTTCAAAGCTACCTTCAGAGCCGTCAGGCATGCCTACGTGGGTTTGCCTGAGGACTGGGCTTGACCTCTAGATATTCAGAGAGAGGGCGCTGTCCTGTGCTGAGGCCTCCAGTTCCTTCAGCCCCCGGGTGGCTTTTGTTACTTCCCGAGGTTTGCTGCAGCCTCACGCTGGTTAATATTGCATACCTGGGACTGATTTCCCTTCAATGCTCTTAGGCCAAAGTGGCTGTATGCAATATTTAAAGGAGAAACTACGGAAGCCCCTTTGGAAAGAAACCAAAGAAAAGAGAGAGAAATATTTCCATTCCAGAAGAGGACTACATTGCTCTGGCCTGGAAGACGAGCAGGATCAAGTCTAACTCCAATCTACTGTCCAGGAAACCGGCAGGCGGTTAAGCCTGTCTCCTACCATGCACGTGCCTATAGCAAGCATCCCAGAGTCAGCAATTCCATGTCATGGTAACCCAGAGATTTGTCCCAGCCACCCGTTTGGCTGGACCCACCCTCACAAATAGACTCCAATTTCAATTTTGTACATTATCGCTACAAAAGGTTATATAGACCATCACGAAGATCTACTGACAGGACTGAAAAAGGCAAAGGCCATTATATGAAGTTGGCCCACAGCATACCCTGGACAACATGGAAATCCCAACTTTTAACCATCTTGCCATTCGTCTGTGAAAAGTGCATTATATTCCATGGTCTTCAATGTATGTGTAAAACTATTAAACTTTAACATTTCAATTATATCACAAGTTTTAACCTTTGTTTTGTTTTTGTTTTTTCCTTTCAGTTATGAATACATCAGAGGCATCACTACATGGAAGCGCCTCTTTCGAAGTCACCTAGGAGAACTTTCAGTTGGAGCCAAATAGATATTGTCAGGATCAAACCTGAAGACAGTCTGGCGGGTCCGTTGGCCTCGCAGTAATTTTGTATGTTATGAGCAGAACAGTTACTTTCTCACTGGCCAGTGACAGTCTTCTTTTAATCTATTGTGAAACATTCCACTTCATTCTATACGAAGGCTCCAGCAAATGCGCTTACAACTTTTATATTTTTTGTTATAAAAATATTGTAAATGACGAAATCTAGAAAACTAAAAAGGAACAAAAATGATATTATCCCATCATCTAGAGGTAACCGTTGCTATTATTTTGAGATTCAAATTTGCAGAGTTAATTTTTCTGTATAGCTATTTTAATGATACATGCTCATATACTCATACGACATCAGGTAAGGTAACCAAATGTAAAAGGTCGGTAAGCAAACATTCATCTCCAAAGATATCTTAACTCCTAAGCAAGTAAGGAAAAGAGATCGCAAGTAAAGTGTTCTTTGCAGGCCCTTCCTATCACACAATCTTTATTTACTCATAATATAAACAATATATTATGAGTAAATAGTAAGGGCTAGAATGCTATCATACTGCAGTTTTAATAAAACCATTGGTTTCTAAGTTGTGAAAATATTATCCACACATATGAAGTGTGTTACCACTCTTTCACCAAGAGTTATCTGATAAAGAATAAGTTACATGCCATGCGGAGATGCTGGAAAAGGTAGTAGCTTATTTAAGACATCATACTGAGCTATTTTTAAAGGCTCCAAACTTCACACAAATGAACAATCCTTTCACTAACCAGCCATATAACTCAAAGTTAGCAATCTTCTCCATAAGTTTTTGCTGCTCAGAAAGAGAACATAATCATTTTAATAAACATATATGGACTTTTTGTGAAAATTGGGTTTAGGATGAATTTAGATGAACAGAGATGCTCTAATTTTGACTAATATTTTGAAAAGATGCATTACTTAGATTTACATAAAATTTCTCAAACACCATTGGCCTTAACTACTAAGAATAGCTTGTAGGTAAGTATTTTATCTATACTCAGATACTTTGAAGCAAATTTTAAAAGTCTGGGTGATACATAAGGTCACAGGATTAAGGGTATATTGTAATAGGTTATTATAATCATCACCTCTTCAGAGAACAAGGAATGGCTGGCTGCTTCTAGAATTTAGAAATTCAGTGACTTCCTCCATTGGTTCACTAGGTTATTGATCCCGTTCCACCCATACTAGAAATTCTTCCGAATCAATGTATATGATTTTTTTCTGCTTTAATACCATTACCTTTAGAAATGTGTTTTATATATTGCTATGAATAAATAAACAAAATGAATTTTTCAAATTTTCTTTGATGAAGCTGCTTATTTTTACATACTCGGGTAACTATGTAATTTTACATCGTGGGGAAAACAGTGATTTATTCCTCAGTTGCCTAGTTAATTTATCACCCCAAATACTCACTTCAATCCAGAATCTATCTCATTTACTTTTGAAATTCACCTCTTATTTTCAGTAGTAGTACAAATATGTAAGTAACCCTTTGACACCGCAAACAGCAGCAGCCTTTCTCCAGGAAAACCCACAAGAATAGCACATTTCCTTCTATGTCAGAGGTGTAACAAGAAGGGAACAAATTATTCATAAACACACACACACACCAACCGGAATCCTCCACTGGCCAGCAGTCTCTTATTAGGTTCAAGAGCAACAGACTTTACTTTAGGTCGTTCCATGTTAGAGCCTGAAAGTAAGATGCCTTCAGAAGGCAACAAGACCCCAAACTCGACTCATCAAACAATGCAAGAAGCTGTTCTTTGATGTCTGCATTCAGTCGATGCCTTAAATTATTGATGTGTTGTCGACTGTCAGATTGAATGTTAATTTGCAATAAAAAGACACACATGACCTATTATAATTTCTGTAGTTGCTATTTAGAATAAACAGGCTAATTGGAGGAGAAATGTAAGTTATTGAAAGAACTCCTATAATGACACACTCTACCCGTCTCCATTCTTCATTCCACTTTAATCAAATATGCAGAAACCATTGATTCTCGGCTGACTAAAGCTGACGCTCCTGACTTTTAGACGTCTGACTGCAAGACAGAACTAAACACGCAGGAGGAAACCCTATTTGCCTACCACTCAAAACTCTAAATAAGAGTAGATAAACAGAATCCTGCGATTGTATCCAGTTAATTAGTTTAAATAATTAATTTGATGGCAACTTTTGGCTTTGAGGTTCTGATAGACATTGGCACAATGGAAACATGAGTTTTCTTTCCTATCAAGCCAACAATAGACGACTACTGAGATATGGCACTCTCCCAGCGGTGGGAAGGCTGGGCACCAGTGAGTAGGTACATCACTGCCATAGCAGCCTTTATCAGGGGAGGGAAATACATGCATTCTGGACATCGAGTCATGCATCCACAGCTTAGTTCCACTGGCCTACTCACGATGAGGCTCTAGTCCTCTGAGCTTCATAGGGCCTTGCCCATCTCTCTTTGCTTAAACCACCACAAAACCACGCCAGGAGGCAGGCGCCTCCTCTATTGCCAGTGACGAGGTGTTTCATTCATTCCAGATGCAAGACTCCGTGCACATTGGTCCTGGGCCAATGGCGCCAACACCGCATCCCACCAAGCCAACCAGACCTCTCATTTCACTCTGGCCTGCAGCCTGGTTCTGACGGAGGGAGCTCTTTCTGGGAGACTAGTGCCATCTTATGACTCAGGCCCCAAGAAGCAAGGACACCTGAAAGGGCTTTGGCTGTGTAGCCACATCTTGTTCTACGTGACACACAGATCTTCAGCGAAGAGGGTGCCGCTCTCGGGGAAGGCACATGCTACCTTGGCTGCCCGGGCCCAGATAAGCAATGCCACGCTTTCTTACCTTTGCAGCCACCGATGAGTTGGGTTTCTCCAGCAAGTCCCAGAGTTTCTTCCTTTTTTCGGGGCAACACGTATTGTCAAACTCTTCCCCCTCTCGCTCCCTCATGGTCTCCGCCTCTCGCCTCAGTTCCTCGTTCATTTGCTCCTTCTTTTGATGGTATCTGGCCTGGCAGCAGGACTCCAGGTAGATCTCATCAATGCCCCAGTAGTCAAGCTCTTGGCCAAAGGAGAGCGCACACATTTCCTCCATCATGTGGAGCTTCCCGGTGCGGTAGAAATTTAAGATGGAAGTGAAAGCCCCGGGGTGCCGGTCGAAGAAGTACTCGTTCTCGGGCAGGCTGTAGTCGTCGCACACCTCCAGGAGGCCCTCGTGGGTGTTGCAGTCCCGCAGCTTGCCCAGGCGCGTGCGCGGCAGCCGGTCCAGCGTCCGCCACAGCACCTCGTGGTGCAGGCCCCCCACGTTGATTTTCACGCGCCGCGAGCACGATTTGCTCCGAAGGATGTCCACGGGTTCCGGCGGGAGGGACAGTGTCGACCTGGAAGCCTTCCTGTGTAAGCCCGGGGGGGACTTTTCGGCCATGTTGAACCAGACCAGATTGTGGAGCCAGGGGCCTTCGAAGAATGAGCCGAGGCAAGGTCACGTGGAGGAATGTCCCCCGGAGGCAGGCATGTCCTGGAGCACGGCTGGAAGAGAGCAAGAACACCCTGTCAGTGACTTGCATGCTTCCTAGGGAATTTCTTATTGTGTGTGATCGCCCTGTTGTTTCTGGGTAACCAGGAGGGTGAATACGAATGACTG